CCAGAATGATATGGTCAGAAATAAATTAGACTGGCAGTTACTTTATATTTTTAGTAAGTGCTAAGATTTGTATGAAAACACGTTGAATATGTAACACACTATACTCATTCTGTATGAAGAGAATGTGCAAATAAAGAAATAGGTGAATAATTCACACGAAACCTATTGACAAGTAGGCGACATTTTACCATCTTCAAACATTGGCATGACCTTAGCACATTTACTGTAAAATAGACCTTAACACATACCCTTCATATTTATAATTAACGCAAAATACACCTTCATACATGCACATGACTATACAAACACTGTTGCTCATGAAGTTTTGAATATATTTTATTACGTGTTTCCATGAAAAGATTGTAACAGTATATTTGTTTCTTGATAAATTCTCATAACTGTATTGATGGATCTTTATGAACCTTTAGATTAATCAATAAAGTTCTAAGAAGATATAAACTGTATCTATCAAGAATAAATGATACTATCACAATTATCTCATGAAAATAGGTAAGAAATGTTATTCCAACTGTGTAGGCATGATAAATATACATATGGGGTAAGGCCAGCTCAGCCTATGGCATCGCGAGGCTACTTAGTTTAAATCAAGAGTTAAAGTATAATGATAATAAATGTCTTGATTTTAAAGGAATATGCATTGCAGCCCGGTGGCTTAATTATAAAATATTTTTGCAAAAGTATTTACATGATAAATAATACACTAAGAAGAATCATAAAAACACATAAAAACAATCTATATCCAGTTGTAAAGCACTCATGAATGTAGTATATACAGGTGAGTCTACTATTAAAAGGGGAAAGAAAGGTAGAAGAGAAACAGAGGGAAAGAGAAGGATAGAGAGGGAAATGAGAGAGAGAGTGGGTGATGAACAGGAAGAAGAAAGAGGGTAGGTGGTCATCCACTTACAATACTATGAAATAACACAAACATTAACAAACGTAGCAAGGTGAATTAGAAGTAAGTTTTACACAGTATATACACACAACATAACCGACAAAAAAATCATGAGAATATGCTGTTGAATGTTTGAGATCGGCCGCTATAACCTTGATATTCACAAATTTCGTGTCTTCTAGAATATTTCGACCTCTTGACAGTGTAAACTTAACTTTTTAAAGTAACTTTTTTACACATTTTTACCAAATGATCTTAAAAATACAATTTTTTTCAAACAGACGTATACTTGATGCAAGATTCATACAAGTATTTGCGATCTAGTCTGATTCAGCATTCTTGGCTAAGTTTAACACAAGTTATTCCTTCTAAAGTCCCTATACTTATCCAACCAACGTACGGTTTACAAGATGTAGATGCGTTGTAGTACCGCTGCACATCCGAACACGGCTTAATTTCACATGTCGAGTGTAGACGCATACAATCCTTCATCCAAGTCATTGAGAGACAGATAATTCTGTGAAAATCAAAAGTAATTAAGATAATAATGATAATAATAACAGCATCTATATTCACCTCAGGAGACAATCATTGGAAGTACAAAGTAGTATTACGACATGAGATTTAGCCCAGCTGTTTTTAGGCGTTGAAAGCATTCAAGGAATAAACTCCAAGTATCACACTAACCCTCACTCTGTCAATTTTATGTTGAAAATAAGAAAGGAATTTCCCCTTTTTTTTCTTTCTTCAGAATTCTATTTAAATTTGAAAATATGAAGAAGAGAAACTTATATGATCATATATGAATATGAAACACACAAATATGTACGGTAGGATATAGTAAATGAATAAACTAAATGACGTAATAAATCATTCCATAAGGAAAAGAAGCTCCAAAGATCACTATTGGTTAAGGGTTAAGGTTATTTTCACGATTCCTTTAGAACTGAGGTTAATGCACTAACGGAATTGTAAAAATTGATATGTAATAAGGAAACTTAATTCTGCATTATACATGTTAGAAGGTAATTTGAGTCAATCTTACATGAGTCTTTTCTAGAATCCTTTCCAAACTCTTGAGGATATGATCAAAGTTACTCCGATTTGTAGCTTCCTTCTCCCAAGAACCAGTCATGACCGTATACCTGAAAGATACGAAACATACGATCCTTATCTAATAGAAATCTAATAGAACTACCGAATTGAATCTAATACAAATACAAATACAAAATTCCGACAAATCTAAAGTTCATGAGCAACAGCAGTTTTATCACTATTGTTTCATTATTTTATGTACGCACCCAGTCCGAATCATTTTACTACACCTTATTGTTTTATTATCATTCTATCAATTTCTGTCTTTGTCTTTCCCTATGTTATTCTTTGTTTTTCTTTTATGACCTTCTCTTATATTATTCATTGTTTTTATCATTCTATCATTTTCTCTGTTGAGTGTTTAGACGTATTATTTTCAGCTTCAGAATCATATTCTTAGGAAAGATTGCAAAATCAAGTGTAATCGTGTTTCTTGTTTTTTGGAAACATCATCATGACATCTAGGAAATACAAAAAAGCATCGAGTGAGTCAAATTATGACGTTTACAGAACAATTCGCATGAAAGAGTAATATTTACACTTCTTGTCCACAATGGCGAGGGCGTGGCATCTGATAACCATTGGCAACCTCCGTTTGAACAGTGTCAAAGGTCATTTTAGGGTATGGCCTTGCACCTTTAAGAAGCGAAGAAAAATAACACTGAAAACGTTTCTTTTCCAAAATACGAAAATGTGACATCCAAAGCTATGGAGAAAATTTAAATTATATCGCAAATATTATTGGTGGGTCTTATAGAGGGGAATAAGTGGCTTGAATTCTTCATCTTTAAAATGCTTCGAACTAGTATTAAACATGGTCTATTTTAATTATTTAAGTGCAAAGGTTTATTTCACTTTTCTTCATAACACCATATGATACACGTGAAGTGAAGGGGTCTTGGTATGGTGTCTAATTCTCTTGACTCTAAATCCGAGGTTCAAGGGTTCGAATCCCAACTCGACACTTACTTCCTTTGGCAAAACATTAATCCATATTCACCACTTTCCACCCACTCCACCAACCTGGCAAGGGTAATAATAATGGGAGGGCACTGATGAAGAACAGCTGTAACGCTTATAAGGCTTCCTATGTGAATGACTTTAGGGTCTTTACGATGGTACACAAAATTATATGTGATATTAACATTAATTTGTTCACCTAATGTCACAATTTCCCACAAGACGATACCAAAAGACCAGATATCTGCTTCTGTTGATGGGTCGCCAGTAACCATGGTTTCAGGCGAACTCCATCTTGTTGGTTTCTGAGATGTTGGAAAGTACAAAGAATGCTAAAAATCGTGTTAACTTTAAAGTTTAAAAGATGGAGAATTAGCGTCTTTCTTTGCATTTTTTTTTTATTCATTTTCATTAAACAATGGGTTAATACAAATCGTGAGTAACACCTGATGGCTGAACTGTTCATAATTTACACACGGCTTTGAATATTTATATTATAAGCAAATAACTACCGTTGGTGAAGGTGATGGGACAAACTATCACTTCCGAGGCGATCTGGAAGTAGCTATTTTCCGAAGCGAAGCTGAGGAATATAGCGTATACATTCAGATCGCCGAGGAAGTGATAGTTTGCCATCGTCTGAAACCAAAAGGTGATTATTTGCTTTATATTCAACATCGGAAACATTTCACTTCTTCCGTCATTTTAGAGCAACAAGTCATCAATTAACATCTAGCAAACGGTGTACGAAACGTACAGTGTATGCAGTATGGTGGTGTGACCATAGTTCGCGCGTGACAAAAGTTCGCGTACTAACACTAAAAGCGCTTGAAGCCAGAGGAGAGCAATACGCAGCGTATACAATTAAAGTGCATTGCACTGTGTAGATACTACTTCTATATTCAGTGAAAGTGCGTTGCACTGTGTAGATAGTACTACTATCTACACATTAGAACGAACTTTTCTTCTCCCATCAATGAAGGGCGAACTATCTTTCATCACGCGATTTATTTTTTACCAATCGTAGAGCAAGAGCACCGTTTGCTAGCTGTTAATTGATGACTTGTTGATCTGAAATGACGGAAGAAGTGAAATGTTTCCGATATGGAATATAAAGCAAATAATCACCTTTTGGTTTCGGGCGATGGCAAACTATCACTTCCTCGGCGATCTGAATGTATACGCTATCTTTCATCAGCTTCGCTCCGGAAAGATAGCTACATCCAAATCGCCTCGGAAGTAATAGTTTGTTCCATCACCTTCACCAACGGTAGTTATTTGCTTAATATTGCAAATGGCAAAACTATTCAAACACCACGGTCAATCAAATTAATGATTAAGTAGTTTAAGGGGAATTGAATAAACGTCATAAATCATAAACAAATATTCCATGGTCGCGATTTCCTAGTTTAAATTTGTTAGATATATTTCTTTTGAGAAAAAAATGTAGTCCTCATTATTGTATACGTGCCATATCTATGCTGATGATATATCATTAAATGTCAGCGATAATACTCACACCTCTGGCGCTAAATAGTGATGAAGATAGTCCATAATCTGATAGCTTGCATTGCTTTCTACCGCCTAGTAACACATTGTGAGCGCAGACAGTTCCATGGACGATCTTAGTACGAAAAAAAAAATTGAATAACCATAACAATAGTAGTAATAACAAATAAATAAATACATAAAAAACGATAATCTGGATGTCTCACCCTAGCTCATCATCACCATCTTCCAACTATACTCGCTTCCTTATCTCCTATTCTTCCACTTTCTACTTCTACTATTCTCAGTCTCATCCTCCTCGCACTTATCGTCGACCTCAACGTTCTTACTATCAACCCCCCCCCCCCCCCCCCCCCCCCACGGTCTCCTCTTCTCCGCTTTTCTAACATTCTTCATGCCATATACTCTTCGGTAACCTCGTCATCGATAACTCGATCCTATTGCGGCTTTCTCAATTGCTCCTTATTGTTCTCCTATTGTGTTTTTTTTTTTTAAATCTACAGGTTACCTTCATTGATTCAAGAAACTGTATCTCTCTGACGTATTTCCTAGCAAAGTTTAGTGGACTACTTTCATCTATGCAGCTCCTTTTCACCCATGCTTCCATTTTCCCATATTTTTCTCTCCTATCCCCTCCCATCGGTTCCCCTTTTCTTTAGTACCTTCTCTCTTATTGCAAGTCATTAAATCAGGTTACCTTCTTCGATGCAAGATACTGCATCCCTTTTGCGATTTGCCAAGCCAGGTTGAGTAGACTAGCTTCATCGATACGAACCCTCTTTGGTTTGAGATTGCTGTATGTGGGCTGGGATTGCACCCCTGTGGTCTGTAGATGGGTAAGTAGGGTACCCCCACAGATGAACTCATACATAATGCTACCTGCATCGTGGGGAATTCGTTAATTGAAAACAAAAATTAATGAAACTGACCGTAACATTATTGTAACGAACCAGTTCGCCACAATTGTAGTTATCTTGCAGAAAACGTAGAGGGCGCAGTAAGCTTTTGGGGCGTAAGGGCTCAGAGCGCGATTACGGACGCACCATGCATAAAGCAGCTCTCGGAGACTATAAATAGTGGTGTTGTGCGGGGAATTCGTTACTTCGACGCTGGCTCTCGTCGTTGTCAGATAGCGAACTCTCCGCTCCGCTCCAATGGAGCTAAAATAAGGAAAAGGATTGGAAACGAGAATGGAGTTCCTACAAAAGGCAATTCCTGCCTTTACTACTTGTTGAGATTTATCAAGGTAATCGGTGTCGGTGTTAAAAAAACCGCTCGCGTTAGTCAGGATGGCAAACTTTTCGTCGGATGACGGTGATAGAGGCAAGGGACAGGCCAGCCCTCCAGCATCCAGGACCCGTTCTAGGATGGAGGGCCGTAACATTATGTTTCATCAGACATCATGTTACAGTATAGGAAAATATCTTGCTTAATCTTTTAAATACTTTCCACTGTCTGTTATTCCAAGGTCCTCTTGTTTTACTGGTTCAATCGTTTTGGGTTCCGCGAAGCCTACTCAAATTGCTATGTACTTTCAGGGTTGCTAGAATCGATAAACTGAACTTTTGTCCTCCGAATTATCTGGAAAAGACGCTCATATTCCTAATAATATGTATAGAATTAAGCAGACCAAAACAAAACTTTTTGTAATTGCGAGAGGAGATGTTTTTACCTTGTTCTTGACAATATCCGAGGCACTTGACAACATTCGGTTGATCCGGTAGCTCAGAAAGGACCTTCACAGCTTCAAGAACGTTATTTGATTTGGTCACTTGATCTAAGGGAAGATACATCCTACATATAACTACCACATTTGCTTTCAATTTCGAAGGGAGTAGTGGGTTAAAGTCATTGCAGAACAAGTTAATCATTCATTTGTTATTAAGATCGAGTGAAAAACAGTGTAGACAAGTGAATACAATATATTTTTACTGCTACCTTGTTTGGCGTTCAACAATAAGGGATAGAGCAACGTCGATCTGGCGCTACTCAGCGGCTGCCGGGCTCACAATCAATTGGGCAAAAAGAATTTCCATTTTCGGTTTATCTTAATAAAATATGGAGTGGACTTTAAAAGATTATTATTATTATTTTATATTATTATTATATACAAATATATATTTATCAATTGAAAACCTAAATATGAATAAATATATATATATTTATTCATATATACACACATATATAAACATACATACATGGTGTACTTTTAAACCGATGTGTTACTTTGTACGCTTGTTTTGGTCCTACTGAAATAAAACTTTCTAGAAAGCTGAGAGCATCTCTGCTTATCAATAATAACACAACATCTGGTAAAGTTCCAAGTTATTTTAGGCTACATTGATATTTATTAAAGCGATTTGCCTGTCGGTCTTTTAAAATCATTTTTTATAGGGAGTTGTTGGCAAAACCCCACCTGGAATCTGCCTTATACCGACGTCTACTTGACTTTGATTCGAGCGGAGTTCTCCCTTCCATACCCCACCGAAGTCACCCCGTCCAATCGAACCGAGTCTGGTGAAGAACGTCAGGTTTTCAGGAGCAATGATGGGAGAGTGGGATGGACCGAGTTTGAGAGATGTGTATGCTATAAAAACATAAATAAATATTATAACGAGGCTTCTAATACTTGAATGATTAAACACGTATAATATTTCCCTGAATACTTTTCGCACATTCGGGGAACTGGGCTAAAGCCAGAGTAATATAGTACTGTGTAGGCGCTTTGAGCATCCCCTGGATAAAAACGTGCGTTCCTATGGTTATGAGAGCTTTTTCTATGTTTGTTTTAGTATCTTTGCTTATTTTTGTTAATTGTTGATTATTTGAATTTATGTTTTTCTTTGTAGCATTCTTCATTATAAACACTGTGATGACTTTACACATTTTCTCACCTCTATCTCCGTTCTGAATCATCTCAAACGCCATGTTGTCGTTTGCCTCATGAGATACATTTCTTCCTTTTCTGTGAAAAACAAATAGTGAGATGTTTCTTAATAAGGCATTTATATTGATAGTGTACTGTTTATTGTACAGCGCCATCTCATAGCCATCTCACAGTACTAATTTCCAAATAGTCGTAATCATCAGAGCAGTTTTGCTCGGTGTATGTGTTATAGTACATAGCTAATCATTTTCATTTGAAAGTTGTAATAGAAGTACAAACTCGAGTTTCACTTTATTTTTTAACATATTTAACATGTAAACACATAATAAATGATATCATCTATACATTTGGTGGTTTCTCATATTTCACTACATCCGAATATTGGTGTATGTGTGTGCGTGTGTGTGATGGTGGTGGGTGTTTGAATATATACCTGTGTGTACTGATGTGCACATTTGAGTCCTCGATTAAAACCAGAAATGTGTAGGTGTGTCAATGCGTGAGCGTGGGCGCCCACCCATACGCACTCATGTGTTTGTGTGATCGATATCAATATATACTGATCAATATTACGAACTGCTATGTACTAACCTTGAATTGGTTTTCTGTGACTCTTTAAAACATGTAAAAAGAAACAAAAAATGAAGAAGCAAATATAGAAATCTTGATAAATTTTCTACGCACAAAAGAGGTATATGGCACATTTATCAACAAGGAAGTAAACTTTAGTCTCAAGTAGATATGCATAATCCTGAGGTATTGATATGGTATGGGTCAATACATTCAGGAGATGATAGACGTTACGATAATCAAGAAAAAAAAAACTTCGCTATCAATTTTCAGTATCATGTTCAATACTAAGTCAATGAAGAGTAAATACAAACATATAACGTGAACCGGCTTTATACACTTACAAGCTATCAGTTTCGTCAGCTTGCTCAGGATATTCTGATAATTATTAGTTTATCATTGATGATTAAATTCCTCATACATTTTATAATCAGAATTTACTTCGTCGAATGTGTATGTGAACAGCCAAGAAACTGCCTTAAAAATCCTCCATATATATATATATATATATATATATATATATATAGTAGAATCAAATCATTACATTTCTATTCATGTTCATGAGAAAGTAATGCAGTAGCTATGACTATTACGCACCTCATTTTTTTTCCGAATGATATTCTGTGAAAGTATAAACAGCTTTCATTCCTATGAATTGTTTGTTAATACATTCTGGCGTTATTCATTATATAGAAAGCTAAGTAAATCAGTAATACAAGTTGAAGAACACACATCATTTACATGGAAATCTGATAAGTGATATTATTGATGTGCACCTATATTCAGGTTTCTAGAACATATCAATATAAGGTACGTTTTAGGGGTAAGTCTGCCAATCTTTCTTGAAGGGTAACCTTTCCATTAATAAATAAATAGATTTGTGGGTTTCAATTCTAGGACTAGTTCGAGGGCTATTCCCCACCCCCTACCAAACTCCACTCTTTTTAATTAAACCAAATTCATAATAAAAGGAAATGATGTCAACTTTATGAAAATATAGTTATAGCCATTGTTATCTCGAAGGTGGGATCTGGTTCAAACACAAGTCGAGCATGCGTGGGGTGGGGGGGGGGGGTAGCTTAGGTGTAAACCTGATGTTGTTGCTTGTCTTCTCCACACAATGACTTGAATGACGGTGATGATGATAGCTACAACTAACAGGGTGGCAAAGACAGCGATGCCTGCAGAGGCACCAGAACTCAGACCCTTACAGTCACACGGAACAGGAGCCGGCTCTGTTACAATTAGGAATATCAATTAAACATAATTAATAAGAATAATACAAAATAAAAATTAATACAAGAATAATAAAAACAGAAAGCAAACGAATCCTAACTGCCCTTTCAGTTCATGATATATTTTAACTCATCAGATAACCAGCAAAAAAGTTCCCTATTCGTATTAAATCAAATACAGTTTAACACATATAATACATTGTACCAAAAACGGGAAATCCCAAACCCAAAACCCAATTGAAAAAGGAACTTCGGGGGGGGGGGGGGGGGGGGAAGAATCAGACCCACTCGATACGTAGTTTATGACTCGATATTTGATAACTATTCAACCTTGCCACAATAGTATACATATTCTAGACTTTGGGAAATACACAAAAGAGTCTCCGAATCAATATTTACACACTGTGTATTCAGTTTCACGTGCAATACATACATGTACAAATCGGCGTTGGTAGAGCAATTTAACGAAATCGGAAAGGAAGCCTATAAAGGAAACCTATTGAATGCTTGTTAATATGCAGAATAGTTGTTTTTGACAACCTTATCCTCTTTAGTTTCAAAATCGAAATTTGTTTAGGGTCTTATATCACAACAAAAACTTAATCAGGTATTTGTTGAAATGTCTCATATCAAGAAACAAAAACAAACAGTTATTTTAGATTTTCAAAAACATATATTTGAATTACTACTTACGTTATCTTCCCTTATTATTCCACCACCACCACTACTACTAATACTACTGTTCCTTTTTACTACCTTTTCTCCTACTACTAATACTACCACTATTCCTACTACTACTACTAATCTTACTACTACTACTACTACTACTACTACTACTACTACTACTACTACTACAAACAAATCATAATGCTACTCCTCCTCCTCTTCCTACTACTACTACTACTACTACTACTACTACTACTACTACTACTACTACTACTACTACTAATACCACCACTACTAATACTACCACCACCACCACCACTACTACTACTAATACCACTGTTCCTTTTAACTACCTTTTCTCCTACTACTAATACTACCACTATTCATACTACTACTTCTACTACTACTACTACTAGTACTACTACTACTACTTCTACTACTCCTACTACAAACAAATCATACTGCTATTCCTCCTACTCTTCCTACTACTACTATTGCTACTACTACTACTATTACTACTACTACTACAACTACTACTACTACTACTACTACTACTACTACTACTACTACTTCTAGTGCTACTACTGCCACTAATACCACCACTACTAATACTACCACCACCACCACCACCACTACTACTACTAATACCACTGTTCCTTGTTACTACCTTTTCTCTTACGGTTCTAGGACAACTACCCCCTGGGCAATCACCCCCCGGAAAATTACCCCCCGGAAAACTACCCCCAAAGGACAATTACCCCCTGGAATATTACCCCCCGGAGAATCACCCCCCGAGGACAACTACCCCCCAAGGACAATTACCCCCCGGAAAATTACCCCCCGGAGAATTACCCCCCGAGGACAATTACCCCCGTAGACAACTACCCCCCGAGGACAATTACCCCCTAGGACAATTACCCCCGAGGACAATCACCCCCCGAGGACAATTACCCCCTAGGACAATTACCCCCCGAAGACAATTACCCCCCGATGACAACTACCCCCCCCCCCCCCCCCCCCGATGACAATTACCTTCAAGGACAATTACCCCCCGAGGACAACTACCCCCCGATGATAATTACCCCCCAATGACAACTACCCCCGTGGACAATCAGGATTCAATAGCAAAAGACGATCTGACACATTGAGAGATGGCTACGAGCCCATAAGATCCCCTGCATGACCCCATATTCTTTCAAATACTATAGCACGTTGTCTTCCTCATTACTACACATTTCCCTTTTATTATAATTTATGCAACGCCAGCGCGGTTGCTAATTTCCACGAAGGATGTAAGTTTTAGGTAATTGTCCAGCGCTTTTCAAAATACATAGAAATACATTTCTCTGGAGCAGCGTTATTTTAGCTTTTTGTTAGTCACGGTACCCTCTTAAGAAATGACAAGTTTCTCCCAAATCCCAAAGTCTTTACAGACTATTAATTTTGCATGACTCTGGCTCTCGTCAAGTACTATGCACACACGTATGGGCACATTTAAGAATAAAAAGACATTTTTAAACTGGTAAAAAAATAGTTTGTAATCCACACACTAGAAACTATTTAAAGTACTGTATGCGGGCACCTTGCCGCCGAATGTTCACAAATAAAAAGTGATATATTCGGTCATGACCTTGATACACTAATATGAGAATATTCGGGCCTCTCGTTGCCCTTATTTGCCTTGCTGTCAAAATATTGTCAGCGAGCGAGGAAGGAAGACACTTTAGTATCTTCCAAATTTTATTTTCTCTCGTAATTACATATTTTAACCGTTTCTGGTATTTGATTTTTTTTTACAAAATCAACGTTTTCCAAATCATTCTCTTGCGGCACCCCGGTTGAAAAACGCTGTGCTGGAGTTACAAAATCAAATGAGATGAATTACCAGAGAGCAGATATTTATTTTCTTTTGACATGGCAATTTCTATTTCAAAATAATTTAACGTACACGAAAACATATTACACTTCAACAGAAATAAATAAATAACGTGAAGAAAACCTTAATTATGGATCACGGCATGGATGAGGGCCCATTATACATACTAAGACAAATACACGATCAGCTGATGAGAAAGTTACAGAGGGTGCATAAAAGAAATCTTACATCCTAATTTCTTTGTTGTGCCATTGATGGTGAGAGAGGCTGTAACGCGTAATCATCTGCGCGCAATGTATTGTTTAATTTCTAAGAAATGTAATTTCTGTTCTTTACTCGGTAGCAAAACTACAGGGGAATTGGGCAACCTCAACAACCCCCCCCCCCCCCCCTAATTGAATTGAATAATTTGAAAAGACTGAAATGAACTTCATAAATCACAAAGAAAATGAAGGTTTATGCAATTTTCTGTAAATAGCAATTTGGAGAGAAGCTTGCGTTATACGTCACAGTCTTTAAATTCCTCGGGATTGATTGTCATTGGGGGTAGTTGTCCTTCAGGGGTTATTGTCCTGGGGGGGGGGAGTTGTCGTCGAAGGGGGAGGGGTAGTTGTCCTCGGGGGTAGTTGTCCTCGAGGGTAATAATAATAATAATAATAATAATAATAACGTTTTATTTACCCAGGGTAGCCACTTCAGTTATGAAACTGCTCTTCCAGCGGGCCCTGCATAACATAACATAATTATTACTACCCTTCTCCAATCTAATATGCTGAGCGCCTAGCTAGAAGGCAGAAGGTCCCATTGTTATAAGTCTTTGGTATGACTCGGCCGGGGTTCGAACCCACGACCTTCCGTACATGAGACGGGCGCTCTAACCACTGAGCCACTAGACCCAGTAGTGTCCATGGGGGGTAATTGTCCTTGGGGGGTAGTTGTCCTCGGGGGGTAATTGTCCTCGGGGGGTAATTGTCCTCGGGGGTAGTTGTCCTCGGGGGGTAGTTGTCCTCCGGGGTAGTTGTCCTCGGGGGGTAATTGTCCCCGGGGGGTAGTTGTCCTCGGGGGGTAATTCTCCGGGGGTTATTTTCCGGGGGGTAATTGTCCTTGGGGGGTAATTGTCCTCGGGGGGGTAATTCTCCGGGGAGTAATTTTCCGGGGGGTAATCATCCTATGGGGGTAGTTTTCCGGGGGGTAATTTTCCGGGGGGTGATTGCCCAGGGGGTAATTGTCCTGATACGGGACCAGTGGAAGACTGTCGTATATACTACCCCATCTAGCGGCGATAAAACATCAGTCTGATGGTGACTGCGGCAACGAGTAGGCGAAAGTCTTTGGTACCATTCACTCGGATTTGTTTTGGAACTTTGGCTGATCCTGCCATGACTTTAGCCTTCGTCATGTTTATTTGGAGACATGTTAGTCGGCTTCCATTGTCCCGTTCTTCCCGCATTATTTCGAGGTCGTTTAAGTTGTCAGATATGATGACAATAACGTCATCAAATCTTAAATCGCTCATGTTTTCCCCAATTATGTCGATTCCCTTTGATGACCAGTCTAATGTTTCGAAGATGCTCTGTAGGCACGTAGTGAAGAATTTTGGTGAGCCGGTGTCTCCCTGCCGAATTGTTAATATAGATATTAATATGGGTACTACTACTAATATTACTACTAGTAGTAGTACACGCAAAAAACAAATCTTCTTTTTTTATGTGTTTGTTTGTTATTTCTGTTCTCTCTGTTTTTCTTAACTAGCTTTTCTAATTTCTGCTAGGGACATACCGTCCCTAGCAAAAATTCCGACTATACCAGTCGGAATGTTTTTGATATATTTTCAAATATGTCTTTTATTGTTTCTGTAGTTTAATTTCAAATATTTTTTCACAGCCTGGATTGTATCAAGCTTTTATGCATTTAGAATAACATATTTGGTTACGATAGCTTGTCAAAAATGTGTATTAAACTTTAAAGTATACTATAGGCCTACAGTTACGCAAAATATTGGTATGGATTAATGTCTGTTTCTGAAAAAAGGACTCATGCTACCAGCACACCTCCGTGAGGAAATAACACCAGGAAGCAGGAGTTATATTATCATTATAAGTAGGATAATATCAATGATAGACGTCGGCTTCCATAACCTGACTGATATCACGAAACTATGGTTCTATTAACAGCTTGCCATGGTTTATATATTGTTTCAGACGGTTCGAGGAATCGCATTTTTTTTTACCGTGTAAAAGGGTATTTAACATTAAACTAAAATTAGCTTTCCTTGTATGTATCCTTTTCAAGTCATGATTTTCCTGAAAGGCGAAATCGATCACATGTTGTTCTTCAAATCGTCAACAATAACATTTCTTTTGTTTTGTATTAAGTCATATCCTGCCAAAAGCTTGCATGCACGCTACCGTTTTAATGCCCTTGTACACGCGAGCTAGCTATCGCTTCGTTGCATCTTGTACTAGTGGCAGATAATGACGCCATCAAAATGACACCTAGAGTGCAACGACTGTTGAAATAAGAGAACATGAACTAGTGTTGACACGCAGCTTACTCCCCAAATAACTGCTCCTGAATGTTCTTTTGAGTTATTCCAACGAATCAGTTTCATTAATTTACCTCAAGTAAATCTCATCAATTTGTTGTCCCAAGTAACTTAACCCATTCTCTTTTTCTGAATGACATGCTTAGCATCCTGCCTGGAATCGGTTGTCACGGGTACTTTTGGAACCCTGATATTTCCCCCTACACCTCTGGACCAGACCGCTGACAGCCAAGAACGGTGCAGTGAATACAGTAACAACAGTAAGTCGTCAATCAGTGATGTAGCACGTGTTAGCCATTGAGCGGGCACTTTTATAATGAGGGGGTGGCATCGATTGGCCTTACTTGGTGGATGGCCAATGCGATTTAACTAGGCATAGTAACAAGGCCATCCCTTTCTGTGACACCGTACCCTGTAGTTATATCCCTGATCACATCACATATAGTATCTAGGGAAATAATGAAATTTCTCATAATTAATTTTAATTAATTAATTTGAAGAAAACCTCAAGGCATAAGCAAATAAGGCAAACGAGGGGGGGGGCGCAGCCCCTTAGGAATTTTTAAAGGACTAATATTCGGGCAACGATGTGATGTCATGGTAGGGGGTGAGTCAATTAGTCTTCATAGGTGGTGCATATCATCTTCTTTACATTTTACTTTCCCTACGTTTCCTGTTCCTTTATTTTCTATCTCCCCCTTTCGTTGTCTCCCTTTCCTTATTTAATTAGGTAAATTAGTCACTTAAATATATTAGAACATATTTGTTAATTGCAGCCTCCCTAGCAAGAGCTAGACGGACATGTCGTGGGGATCTCTTGTCGTCAGCTGTCTGGGAAGATCCCGTGTTCCTCGACTGCTTTGTGGGAGAAGATATTAATGAGGTTCTGGACAACATTGCAAGGGTAAGAAATTAAGTCGTTATGTATTTCATACTCTTAAAGATGTAACGCTCTCAATGAATCCATTGACCGGGGTAATAGTATATTTGTAAAGCGCTAAGAGACATTTGTATATTAAAGCGCTATATAAAAATTAAATATTATTATTATTATTATTATTATTCTTATTATCATCATAGTATGCATAATGCCAGAGATAACTACTGAAATGCAGGGTAAGCCGGGGGAAGGGAGGTATACTACTAGTAGTAGTAGTAGTAGTAGTAGTAGTAGTAGTAGTAGTAGTAGTAGTATCAATATTAGTAGTATTAGTAGTAATAGTAGTAGTAGAAGTAGTAGTAGTAGAAGAAACAGAATAAGAAGGAAAAGAAGAAGTATAAAGAGGAGAAGGAGGAGAAGAAGAAGAAGAAGAAGAGAGAGAGAGAGGGGGGGGGTGTGAGAAAGCGAATGGGCGACAAAGATAAAAGGTATTGTTATACACCATCGGGTCAAAGCTAAACTTATATATAAACTATGTAATCAAATTGGTAAAGGTTTTTTCCTATAATATTCAATTTTTCTTCAAACTCTTGTAATGCGTTTATTCGGCTTAAAAATTACGCAGTGTATGCCTTCAGTCCCGACATCGAGCTGCTTACATCAAATCATCAAATCCCCAGCAAATGATTATTATTTTCATCATTGTTCATCGAAACTGAACTTAATCATCTGACTCACTTACGCGAATGTACTCCATGTAGTTAAAATGAATGGTAGGCAGCGGCAAATGAGAAGGGGGTTGGGACACACTTAGCCGATTGTACCCCCTTGCCCTGTGTCCAACTGTTGGCGTACCTTAAGTAAACAATAACAATTACTCCCCCTCCCCCACAATTTCTTTCTCGGAATTACATTCTTGAATATATGAATCCGTTTCTCCAATTACAGGGAGTTGTGACGTCAGAGAATGTAACCGAATATTCTTACGACGTTGCTGAAGCAACCGCAAATGTCGCCGATATCAATGCGAAAGGTCTTCGAGCCATCTCTGATGCTCTGGAAAAAATCGTCAACGTCGGGAACTCATCGATAAAGGTAATAACGCAGATTGTTCGTGATCTGACATAATATTTTTTGGCGAGATTAAATATTTTGGTTTTAGAGCTTGAATAGGGTACGATTAAAATTAGATTTGGCCAATGGTTAGTGTAAGCTAGGTTTTGTGTTTGATCCATGGTTGAAGTTAGGAACTTGATTATTAACTGTTCATTAATTTTCGCCGGAACACTATACTACACAATTATTATCATGATTAATATAAACTAGTTTTGTCATGACATTTACAGTATTAGTGACTATACTTCTGACGCCGAGTTCCTACAGAGGGGTACTTGCAAAGAGGAAAACTGGGGATAGTTTCCAGGAAAATGCCTCTTTCTGAGTGCGTAAACCATGTGAAAGCCATTCTTACGACTCTGTTCACCAATGTATATCTTTATATTATGTTTTGCGACACAACCCACGCCATTAAATACAAGTTTATCAATGGCTCTCAAAAGCACTTGAATATTTTAAAGCCCCATTGCACTACTTATAACTACTTGCGCCCTCTATATAGCAAACAATGTCTAATCGGTGACCATTGGTCCCCCATGATCCCCTATTTCTTATGTTTATTGAGAGCTGATTTGATGACATAAACACCTGTCAATTACCATGTTCGAAGGCCTAATCCCCCCTGGCCAAACTAGTGCAGAGGGGCTTTAAGATTATTGCCATGAGGGTTTCCAATCAGAGCTAGCGCCCTTTGTTGAGGTATTTATATTTATTCATTTCGGGTTAGGACAAATCAATCAATTAACTGTTTCTACCAGGTCACCAACAACACCCTCCAGATCGTCGACCACGCTCTCGGTGCTCCCGAAGAGGAGTTCGTAAACGCCGTCGAAGTCGAAACTCCGACGAGGATTCTCGATTTCCTGGAGCAACAGATCACCCTCTTCCAGACCCAGGGCGACGGCAATAACCTCACCATCGTCGGAAGGAGCGTAGCTGTGGTGGCCCTCCAGCTCCCGAAGGAAAGTTTGTTGGAAGGTTTAGGGTTCGCTACCCTGGCATCGCCTGACGGTGAAGAGAAAAGCAGCGTGCTCAACGAATTAAATGAAAACGAAATGATTATTTACTTCAATCCAGACAACGTCCCGGACACAACAATTGATGCAGCCATTCTTTTGCCACCATATGTATTAGGTGCGAAACACTTCATGTTTAAAACCCAAACATTAAATATAATTGCATAATGAGACTGTCCCCAAACTAGAGTGTAAACTAAAACCATGAACTTTAGATTATGTTTCCTTCAATTTGATCCAATAAACATTAATGAAATCTATTAGCAATCATTAAAAAAAATATGAGGCTCAGGTTGCAAGCGAGCAGTATTCAAAGCGTGAATCCATGAAGCAAGACGGGGTCATGTAATGTTAACCTGTATATTGATAATTAATAGTGATATTGCCAGGTCAACTGCCTGAACAACGACAACAACAACAATAAAACCCAACAACAATAACATTAACATAAATCGTACTATGGTGAGATTAAGAGAACTTTATATCAGACCGAAAAAAACGTTATTTTAATCAGTAATTTTAATATGTGAGAATACAGGGAAAAACGTAAAACCATTTGACCAATATAAAAATTCACTAGTAAGAATCACGCAAACATCCCCTTCTTGAAAATCCCTGAAAAGCAATTATTCTCCCATCTTCTCTTCCATGCAGAAAATGGAACTGTTCCAGTGACTTTCTTCCTATTCCAGACCAGTAAGCTCTTCTTAAGTCCAGAGCAAGCATACGATCTCGGCGGAGTTCGTCGACTAGCGGTCGGAACCCGGGTCATATCAGCGACCGTCGAGGGTGCGGTCATTCAAGGTTTGCCGCAGGGTGGTGAAGTGGAGACAACCTTCCTTGAACTGAATGTGAGTTATTTTGATTTATAAAAAGAGCAAAACTACGAACTTTTATCAATCTGACATGATTTATTTACTGTCAACAATGCTGTATACTCGAATTTTATGACAGCTAATGTGAAATATAATCTACAAATTTTCTTTCAAATATAAAACTCAAAGGGCTACGATATTACGTTCATGCAAATTACACACGGGGCGTCAATTCGATTACGTCATTACCTGAACTATTATCCCGTGCGTCTGGCAAATGACACCTTTTGTGCAACAGGTATTATGCCCATTGCACACACGGCATCATTTCATTAACGGAGGGGGAGGGGCAGAGCGTCTTCCATAGTTGGGGGCCAAATAGGGCACTATATAGAAGAAAAAAGGCATCTACATAGGATAATTTCAAAGCGAAAATATACATTTTGTTTAGTATTGGTATAACCTTTACATTGTGATTACATTATCAGGGATGATTTCAATATTTTTTTTCGCTTTACATGCCATACAACATATTGCTTAAGCATCATTATATTTTCTCTTATCCTCAAGTGAGGTTCTTATTTTCAGAAATTCAATACATATTTACATTAAAGGGATCCGGTAACTTTGTCTCAGATTCTGAAATTAAATTCTGGATTTAGCTCATGATGCAATGATAATTATAAACCTTTAGGTCAGTCAGGAACCCCATGACCTTTACAAGCCGATCGCCTGTCTGATTATCAAGATATTCATGATTGGAATTACAAATTTTGAAAACCGTTCGCCTGACGGTTTTCATAACACTACAGTCTATTAGGGTAAACGAGTATGGTAAAACCGGTCACTCAAAGATTTTTTACTTTTTGGAGGCACTTCTTCATCATTTTGAATCGCAATTTTTTTAGGGCTTCAATATTACACCATATCACAGACACTGATAACACGTAGGGTCGTGTATCTCAGATTTAACATTGTTAAACGATCCCTTTAATAATTTAATGAATGAGTGAGTGAAACATAACATAGGCTAAAAATTTAAGTATATTCAACAATTATTCCAGCTTAGTATTGTATTCTTTGCTAACAAATTCATATCTTAAAAATAATCTAAAGCAACGACTTGAATTTTAAAAAAACTAAGTGTGTGGGTAATAATCAGAACCCTTAAAAATCTTCTTAATGTAACATTTATAAATTGCATATTGTGCATAATTTTAAATAACGTTTAGGAGAGAATATTGTTTGTTTCCAATATCCTTACCTACAACTAATATCTTTTGGTCTATTTGTATTTTTGGGGGGAATAGGTTAAATATCATGTTATATATTATTTTCCAAAACAAAGTCAAATCCTTGCAATATAACATTAAGTAAAAAGTTGAGTCTACTTGTCCACAAGAGTTGCATAAATCATTATTCATAATTTGCCATTTATATCAGTTTTCTTTTGAGGCAATAAACCTATAAATCAACTTGAAATTAAATTAATAAAATCATTAACATGACTTAATCTATCTAACCAACACTGCGGAAATGTTTTCTTTAATTTTGTATTTTAAAATCAAATAAGAGCTGTTGTGCTTTCACTTTTAAATTTATTAATGTAGAGTCATGCCATACTTTGCTATTGGATGTGATGTTTATTTGCGAGAAAGCGAAGCGAGCGAGGACAAAAATTGAGATTTGTGAGAACGCAGTGCGAAAATTACATCTTATGAAGAGGAAAAACCCCAATCCTGATGGGGTTATAAGCACATTCTCAAGACAGAAGAATGAAAATACCTTTGATAAGTAACATAATTTTTTTAATATAAATGCGAGCACGAGCGAGCATTGGGTGAAATTGATCTTAGTCGCTTAAAATTAGAGACGCGTTTAATGATGAGAGAAAAAGCGGACACTTATCGAAAGGGATAAGACACTTATTAAAAAAGAAAAGGAGCACGTGTCAAAGTACAATAGGTAATTATCAGAGGTGAAAATGGGCACTTCTTACAGATTTCGATAGGGGCATTTATTAGAGGTGGAAATGGGCATGTATGAAAAGGGGATAGGTCCCTTTAATAAGAAAGGGAAAAGGCACATATCATTGTTAACAGGGAAATTATCAGATGTGAAAATGGGCACATATTGCACCTAGAAGGTAGCACTGACCAAATATGAATATCGACACTTATCTAAAATGACAATGAGTATTATCGTCCATCAAACTGGTCATTTACCAGAGATGAAAAGGGGCATTTATAAGAAGGGAAAAGTGCTCTTTTTAAAAATGGAAGCACTTATCATTAGGAAAAGGGACACATAGGAAAATATAAGGTGCGCTTATCCGAGTTACAAAGGGGGTAGTTACTAAAAGGGGAAAGGGCACTTCTTACAAAGGAAATTGGGAGCACTTATCAAAGTAAGATGGGCACCTCTCAGATTTTAATAAGGCTGACATCAGAAGTAAAGGGGGCACTTATCAAATAGTAATAAGGAGCACTTCTCGTACTAAAGATTAAAACGGGCACTTATGAGAATGGAAAATTGACATTTATTGCAAAGGAAAATGGAAACTTGTCAAAGGAAAAGGGGCACGACCCGTGTCAAAATAAAAAGGGGCACTTATCAGAGGTGAAAAGGAGAAGGGCGCGATTGACCCGTTCAGCGTCAAATTCTAAACAAAGTCTTAATTTTACTTTTGGCTTAACACCGGCTGGTCATGATCTGAATCTTACTTTTTGATTCACGCACCCATCTTATGTAAACTAATCAACGACGGCATGTTGCATGATGGTGGGTTTAGAGAACCATAAAGAAACCCAATAACAAAAGTGCCACATGAAATTATGGTATATTTTTAAAACATTTAACCCACTTTTATAAATATAAAAATCTTGACTCTGCCTCTGTATGTGTGTCTGCTTCATCCCGGTCCATACAGGTGACTCGAGACAATGAAACAGTAGATAGCAGGACATGTGTGTTCTGGGATAAGATTGATCAAGGTGGAAGATGGTCGTCAGAGGGATGTCGACGAGAAGACAACCCCGAAATCAATATGATACGATGTCTTTGTGATCACCTGACAAGCTTTGCCGTTTTGATGGTACATTATTATTTCTTTCGATGGTATTTAATTTCATTAGTAAAAAAAAACGCATAGGACATGTGGTAAATATTTGGTAAAAAATAGCCAACTTCCTAGAAGTGTCACTTTGGAAAATTTATCCATATTAAAACCGCTATCGTATATCATTCCGTAAAATATTGCGGTTATTACTATCTATTTTACGGTTGTTCATCTGTCTGCATAAATGGATTTGCAAGGTGGAAATTTCAGGGTCCTACAGCGGTATTGAATTTTACATTATCTCCACCAGAGTGTAATGTTCGGTCTAAAGACAGATCGAAGACGGAGGCGGCATAGCCAAATGGTTTAAACATTTGACTAGATATACGAATGTCGTGGATTGGAACCCTCCTGTGGCACTATTGTCCTTTTGCAATTTAGACATAAATCTTGTTTTGCCACTCTTCAACCAGGTGTTAAATGGGTGTCGGTTTGGGAAGCAATTCCTTGAACGCACCGGAATCGACGGGGTTCGCCTAGCTAGTTCGAGCTTGGGTAATATTGGAGTGGCTTGGGTACCCGGGGGTCTCAGTCATGTAGAAATACTATTTAATCTATTTTATATAAACTTTCTCTGAAAACAAGAATTATATTTTAGGTTTGGGTTGGTATCGTGTGCATGCACCTTAGCTACATATAAGATCGTTTCAAACAACGCGCGCTTATAGGTAGCTAAGTTGCATGCATAGAGATTTATAATATGACTCAATGGGTGCATGCGATATGCATGACATGCTACCGACTCATGCTGAATAAGCTACCTCTCGCGGCCATCGTCAACACTATGACCAAAGATGAGAGAGCACCGCACGTCTATCATCTTTGCTATAACTAGCAGGCGGCGGCCGGTAATCTCGCCAATAAGCAATTATTCCCCCCCCCCTTTTTTTTTCCCTCTGTCTGGCCCTGAGGGCTAGAAAATATCCCTTAACGCGTAAATCGGCGCGTACAGCAGGATTTTGAAGAATTTTGAAAAAAAGGGTACTCTTTTCATTGAAAATGTCCCAAAATTGACGTTTTTGAACCCCTTTAATGCGGCACCACGCTGACCGCGTCCGATCTTTATAATAACACCCCTTTGTACGCGTTTCCTTGGTCACGCGTTCTTACAATATTTATATTTGACTGAGATCCCGGGCTTGGGTACCGTAGGTTGTAGATGTGAGCGCTTTAGAATATTCAATATTAAATGGATCATTCATTTGGTATACCCATATACATGCTTTCACATTTTTAGATCATTAACTTTGTCTCTCTTCTGTTCCTTCCACCCTCCTTTCCTACCTCCCTCCCTTCTCCCATCCTCTCTCTCTCTCTCTCTCTTCCGCTCCCTCTCACCCTCTCTTGCAATGCTTCATTCGTTAATTAAAGGATGTATCGGGAGATGTGGGTCTCTCCGTTTTAGATGTGTTGGGTATGATCGGCTGTATCATCTCCATCATATGCCTCGTGATCACACTTGTTAATTTTATGAGCATGAAGTAAGTGATGTTTCCCTATATCCCTCACCAAACGTCAATATTTAACATGTTTGTGTAATCTTTGATTAATAAATTGGAGAGCCTGAGGACAGGTTAAAAAACGGGTTTGAAGCGGTATTTTGAACAATGTTCTCTAAATCAGAGCATTATTTATATCAAATATAAATGGATAGGAATGGATATAGCTATGGAAAAAGTTAGGCTATACTATTGCTCAGGAAATGTTGATACTTTTGTGTTTTTGTTATATGACTTATTAAATTGTGATTGATTTTTATTTAAAGCAGTACTATCGCAATAAAAAATGATGGTTATGGTGCAAACACAATTCGGCAGGAATTGACAAAACTACAAGAATTGTTATTTATAAATAGTGACAAAAAGAAGTAATAGTTGATAGTGCTGACAGAAAGGAGAACTTGTGCTCGTCGATTCTGGCCCCTTTGACGCTAAATATCATCCGACTTTCAAGTTGTATATAATACTTTGCGACTTTAAATGTGGCATTTGTAGGCCATAATCACTTGTGTGAAAACACATTCTACCATCTTATCAAAATGTCAAAAGAACAATTTATATGGGTGTAAGTCTGCATAATTGGAAGGATAATTGCTTGATAATTGTTTGATAATTATAATCTTTCGCATGTGAAACTTTTCGGAATTGAACAAAATATTGGAGCAGCTCCCTGAAATATTTGTTAAATTTCTGTGGAATTATTCCTAATCTCAAAAGCTTTACATTTTTTTCTTTTTGACATTACAATCCAGACATTACAAGAACGGACCCCTAAAAGACAAACTGTACGTGTCACATGTTCTTTTTTAAGTTCTACAAACTTTAAACAAATTTTGACAATCAAATTTGATCAACCTTTTCAATGCAATTAGGAAACTACGCTCGAAGCAACCTCAGCGGATCCTGATCAATCTTTGCTTCGCGCTCCTCGGGCTCTATCTCGTGTTCGTCGTGGGTATCGACCGCCGTTACCCGACCGCGGGTTGCGTGGTGGTCGGTTTTCTCATCCATTTCTTTCTGTTATCGTCGATGTCGTGGATGTTGGTGGAAGCTATCAATATGTACCTCCTCTTTGTCAGGGTCTTAAATGCCACCGTGTCTCATTTTATGCTCAAGGCCGCGCTTTTTGCTTATGGTGAGTGTCTTGGTCTACTAAGAAAATGATGTAGAGGTGTCGTGGTATAGAGGGTTTTTTATTTGACTCGGAATCGTAGGGTTTGGGATTCAAATCCTATCCCAGCATTATGGTCCTTTGGCAGGACATTAATCCACAATTGCCACTCTCCACCTAGGTGTTTTAATGGGTACCTGGCAGTTGTTGGGAAAAAAGCTTTAATGCTGATGTAACTTTCATATTTAAACAGAATTATTAGTATTATTATCAAATGCTAAAGAACATGTAACTTTAAGGTTACTGTCCCAGCGAAAATGAACACGCTCTAATTTGATTAGGGATGTCGGGTTAGGGTTAGAGTTGGAATAGGGTTTAAAGTTACGGTTAGGTTAAAGTGTTTGTTTTAAGGTTGAAGTTAGGAATTTGATGAGAGTCACCGAAGCATAGTCCTACGTCGAATTGTATCATACGTACTTCGATTTATTTTCCTGCATTGGGCAAATGCCTCCTCACCATATCCGGGAAGCGTGTTAAGATTGTCACAGTTTTAAAGAAGATATTCATTGATTTTGGAAAGTGTAAAACTAACTTTATTTTCATTATTGCAAAGTTGAAACTATGATTCGACAAGGTTATCAAAATTCAATGCTTGGAAACATTCGAAGTAATAATTATTATAAATTACAAAACGCTTAAATACAGCCCCAGCACAGCACCTGGAGAGCTCTCCGAACGCTGCTGAGATGTGTGAGATCACAGTATGGACATGATTTGCACAAGCAGACGATGTCCCATGACATCTCACACATTTTCAGTGCCTGTGTTTTCATCTTCTCTTGAGTTCTTTCTCTTACTTCGCTACCGTCAGGCTAAATATATAATCTGTTGCCTTACTCTAAATCCGCGCATGGTTTTATTTTGATGACAAATGCAGCGATACAAAAATAAAGGAAACTGTCGCTTGTAAACAAAATAAGACGCCATTGTATATTCAGCTGCACACACCGGGGTATGTTCGGCGTTTCAAGAGGGAACAAATGCCGTCCTTAATATCACGATTCAGGGTTTTTTCAATTTGAAAGTCTGGTTTCTTTGATTGTTAATTAACCCCTATCCTGTGTATTTACAAGCAAAATATTCTAGTTATCAGAATCGGGTCATATCCCCTTTTGAATGGTTTGACATGCCATTACATTTATGTCGTCTGCTTGGGCAGTATTGGTCCATATAGTGACGTCATTAAAAGATCGTTATTTTTCGGTGAATCTCTCGTATATCCCAGCTGCTATGATGGTGGTTGTATTTGTATTTTTTATAAATCACCCGATATGTAGTTGACCTAAAACGTGTACGATGGCCATCTGTTAGCTTATCAGTTTCTAGTGATACATTAGTTGACATATTTGTGATTTTCTTTGAATTTCACCTTTAAGAGCTCGCACAATTTAGAAAACTGGAGACAAACAATTACCTTCAGGCAACGAGAAGTCAATCGTCCTGAGGAAATTGGACCCTTTTACCTATATTGATTTTTACACATTTGGTCATAGAGTGTTAGACATTTTTAAGTCTTTCTGATATTATATATTTGTTTACAGGTTTGCCTCTTCTCGTGTGTATCGTAACTGTAGCAGTCGATAGATCCCTCTATTTGGGAGACGGGAATTAGTAAGTTAAATCTTTAAATTTTCTCATAAATCGCCATCTTGTTTTAAAGGCATACTAATATTTATGAGAACGTATGTTGAAGGTCGCCATTTTGTATCATTCATGGAAACTGTGTCGGCCCGTGTAGTTACATTGTATATTGAATTAATGATGAGTTGCTTTTGGTTTTCTGAAAACCCATGTCGACAAGGTCGTCACTTTGCGTCTTTTAATGGAAACTGAGTAGGCCCGTTAATCATGTAATTATTTCAAATTAATGATGAATTGTGATTTATCTGCTTCATGTTGAGGATTCACTATCACTTTCATTATATATGAATTCTTTTTTATTATCAGTATTGAGGCGTCAATATTTTGTTAAAGCGAGTAATACCTTGGTAAAATGGTCTCTCTGTTCTCGAACTTAAGTACGATGTGATTTTTTTCTCTTCGCTTAACAGTTGCTTTGTCAGACCGGGTCCAGCCCTGTATTACGGCGTCTTACTCATCGTTGCTCTCTTACTTGCCACCAACTTCATCATCTTTGGTCTCGTTATGCAAAGCTTGTCACGCCGCGAGTCCATCGCTACCCATAAGACCAACCAAACCAACAGCGGTGAGATGCGACGACGGGTCCAGAACGCCTTCGCCATCTCTGTCTTGCTCGGTCTGACATGGTTGTTCGGTTTCCTCGCCATCGGTGGTGCCCGTCTTGTCGTCAACATCCTCTTCCTCATCTTAAACTCCCTCCAGGGGTTCTTCGTCTTCCTCATGTTCTGCGTCCGACAGAAGGAGATCCGTGAGCAGTGGGTGCGATGGATGCACTGCAACTTTGCCGAGCTCAAGCCGGGGCAGCGTCGCAGCAACGATCTCGTCAGGGAGAAATGCAAGAAGACGGGGTTTTCCTTGGCGACGTCAATCAGTCAGAGTAGTCAACTGTGAAGTAGAGTGACTAGTTTGCAGGCACAAACCCTGGTCAGTCGTATTAGAGAGTGTGCACTATAAGACTACCATAGGTCATGTACTGTAGCTGCTCCTGACATTGACACAACCAGTATGTAGCTAGGCTAGGCTTCTCTCAAGGGACAATTACTTTTTGATAAAGTGTCAAATTAGGGTCTGTGCTTGCAGACTATAGAGGGACAGTCAGCAACAATACTACATAGTGACTTCCATGATACTAATACATTTGGTTTGAATAGATTGCTAGACCAGCTGAACAGTGAAAATCATGAGAATAAAATGGAATAGTAGTATCCTTATATGAGCTCTTTTAATTCCACTAACAAAAGTAATACCAACAGTCCTTTTCAGGACTCCCCAATCTTCCCCTCTCACATGGTGCAACCGTAAGCCTACTGTAAATGATTCCATAATTATTTTATTAGTGATTAACATCATTTAATTATACAATGTTGCATATCGAGACGGAAACATTATGTAAAAACTTAAATCTATCTTAAAGCCTATTATTCAGACATAAGATACAAATTAATCTAAATGTTGACATGAAAGTTAACAAACATGAATCTTGCCAGAAACTTAACCGCCATCATTTTCATTTGTTTAGTTGCATCAATGTTAGGAATTTTGGTTTGTGCATTCAGAATAATGAAAATCAAACTAAGAAATAGCTTTGTTTACAAATAACAAACAGGATGAATGAAAAATATATTCTGCTTTAGCACTAATTACTAAGAAAAGGAAGCAAATACACATCAGGGATTGGTTGCTGGTAAAAATGTAGTTTGTAGAAGTGTCAAACATAATTACAGTGTTTATAGCTATCTTTGAATCTTTGAGTATCTATAGGACACTATATGACATGTTTAATGCTGCGTTGATATTGATGAACTAATACATTTACGTCTATATTCAATTCAATTCAATTTATTTCGCAATAAAAAAATCAAAGTATACAAGGTATTTACAAAGGTTATATGCGGGGCTTTCCATGGAGGTTGCGAAAACACATTACAATAAATTAAGTAAAATAAGCAAAGTACATACACTTCAACTATCTATCAGATGGGAGAAAGTGAAATAGAAAAATATATATATGGGGGGGGGGAAGAAAACAACAATACTAACATAATTGTTTTGGCGGAGAACCGAGAACCAGAAGGACGTATAGGTCTAGTGTCGTATTTAAAATTGATACACGTGGGGCGGAATCCACTCCAAACAGTGAGCCACTATATTTAGTTAGTTATTTTGTTATTAATGTATTATTTAGTTATTTATTAAAACATATTTTAACAGGATAACATTGATCAGCTCGCAGCTGTTTTACATATTATGATCCTGCATAAGGATGGAAAATACAAATTCAAGTACTGACAGTAAGAGTAGTTACAAACAAAAAAACAGTTTTATATAAATGGCAAAAATCGAAAACAACACAAATCGGAAAAATAAGATCAAGGAAAAACGAAAAGAGGAGGAAAACAAGATAAAATAATGCAATATGACATTTACATTATGACATTTTACATTAGAATTATATATAACAATTAAGTTAATAAATATTTCATGTGGAGATTAAGCCCAATGAATTGTGAATATGGTTTGTATTGCATAATTATAAAAAATAAATATCAAATTTAAGACATGATGTAGGTATATGAAATTTATAGGTAATTGGGTTAGCAATCATTTTAGTTATTGCATATAGTGTTGTAGTAATGAGGAGAAACGTCAGTGAACACATTTCATCCACTGAATTGGCATTTTGGATATCATTGGGAAGCTTATTCCAATTAACCGCTCCAGCAACTTAAAAAATGGTTTGAATAAGGTCACGTTGGGTTTTGGCAATACTACATCAAGAGAGTTTGCATTTCCACCTCGTTTATCAAACGAAATAGAAATGTATTTCGACCGCCATGGCCTAAATACATTTCTATTTCGTTTGATAAACGAGGTGGATTTCATTACATTTAATATTACAGCTCTGGTCTTTAGACGTTGACACTCCAGAAATCTCATTCAATTCTGCCCATAATTTCTTCAAATTATTCTTGTTTATTATGTACATCCCGGAAATATTCCTGTTTTTTTCTTCGTATGACACAGATAATGTGTTTTTTGAAGTTTTGTATACTTTTATCAAAATCAGTACGAATTTCTTGTTCAGGAGAAGACACGGACTTTCTTTTAAGAAAATCTCTGGTGTACCTAAGTTTTACAATTTCCGGAGTCATCCCGGGACAAAATCTTTCTTTTACCCTAGTTGTTTTGATAGGTGCATGTTCGTTACTTATTTTTAAGAAATGTTTCTTTCCAAGCATTTCATGTTACTTCAATTGGACCATCTTTAGTTAATTGAAATATTCCAGCAACTTAAAAAATGGTTTGAAAAAGGTCACGTTGGGTTTTGGCAATACTACATCAAGAGAGTTTGCATTTCCACCTCGTTTATCAAACGAAATAGAAATGTATTTCGACCGCCATGGCCTAAATACATTTCTATTTCGTTTGAATAACGAGGTGGATTTCATTACATTTAATATTACAGCTCTGGTCCTTAGACTTTGACACTCAAGAAATCTCATTCAATTCTGCCCATAATTTCTTCAAATTATTCTTATGTTTATTATGTACATCCCGGAAATATTCCTGTTTTTTTTTTCTTCGTATGACACAGATAATGTGTTTTTTGAAGTTTTGTATACTTTTATCAAAATCAGTACGAATTTCTTGTTCAGGAGAAGACACGGACTTTCTTTTAAGAAAATTTCTGGTGTACCTAAGTTTTACAATTTCCGGAGTCATCCCGGGACAAAATCTTTCTTTTACCCTAGTTGTTTTGATAGGTGCATGTTCGTTACTTATTTTCAGAAATGTTTCTTTCCAAGCATTTCATGTTACTTCAATTGGACCATCGTTAGTTAATTGAAATATTTCAGCTGATTTTATAGAAGCAATAATGATTAATATACTTTGTATAAAAGCTGCGCTATATGAATTTATAATAATTATTATTATTAATAAATGATTTATAATCACGAAAACGACGAATTATACTTTTATCAAAATCAGTACGAATTTCTTGTTCAGGAGAAGACACGGACTTTCTTTTATGAAAATCTCTGGTGTACCTAAGTTTTACAATTTCCGGAGTCATCCCGGGACAACATCTTTTTTTTTCACCCTAGTTGTTTTGATAGGTGCATGTTCGTTACTTATTTTCAGAAATGTTTCTTTCCAAGCATTTCATGTTACTTCAATTGGACAATCGTTAGTTAATTGAAATATTTCAGCTGATTTTATAGAAGCAATAATGATTAATATACTTTGTATAAAAGCTGCGCTATATAAATTCATAATAATTATTATTATTAATAAATGATTTATAATCACGAAAACGACGAATTGTATGTTGCTTCCTTTCCATGATAGTGTCAATACAAGTATAAATCATATAATGGTCACTCCTGGACATTTTTGCAACATCACATATAATGTGCTTCTGGGGAATTGAACTTAACAAATGGTCTATACAAGTTGATGATGAAGTAGTTACTTTAGTTGGCTTATTTATCATTTTTGTTAGAAGGAATAGGTTTTCTATGAGATTAATTTGGTTTTCATGGAGTGGTTCGTCCATTTTATAATCAATATTAAAGTCCCCTAATATCATCAGATCAGATGGTTCATCAGTTGCTTTTTCAAATGCATCTAGCACGAAACTATATGGGGGAAAACCCTGCGTGTATCTGAAGTCTATAAACAGCCCCCCCCCCCCTTCCACTGTCACTATGAAGATGAGGAGAGAGTGTGTTGATTTGATTTGATTTGATTTATTTGTTTCTGCATCTTTTTTTTTTTTAATCATACATTTTCATGAACATATTATGGTGTGTGTGCGGGTATGTTTGTGTTGATTATAATGTCTAGTTCACAATAACTATGCTAAGGTTATGTCAATATTGTTTAGATGGTAAAATGTCACCGTATGGATCTACTTTTTTCCTCTCTGCAATGCATCGCTTAATTGCCAACAAGTTCCATGTGATGGATTTGTTTTATTAAACAAAAAATTCAAATAGCATTATTGAGACAAAGAACAAATAAGAATAATAATACAAGGTTAACGTTAACTGTAAAAATGTTCACTCCAATCTCTCTCAGCTAATTCCTGCGAATTAACAGTGGAATCAATTAAGTGAAATCATCTGTGAAATGAACTACATCTTTCATCATTGAGTCCCTAAATCGTAAATTGCTATTCCATGTCATAATAATAAAGATATAATAATTATACTACTACTGCTACTAGTGATAACCATGTGACGCTACATAAACTCGTATCATAAAATTGTTTCTTGTTGTAAAGAAAAGTTTGGCATGCACACAGTAGATTAAGATCGCGTTCTCCTTCTTGTAATTGAAAGCAAATCAGAAGTAAATGTTGCAACCAGTGGGATCTACTGAGTTCAAGCCAAAAATTTCATAAGAACAATTGAAACTCATACCAGGAGTCCTGACATTTACACTTTGTTAATTCAAATGAATTGTAGAGACCATGAACAAATGAGAAAAATAATACATTGTCAGGCCTGTGCAAACTAGGGGTAAGCGGGTTTCGCGCGAGCCCCCCCCCCCCCCACCCCACCTAAGCAAAAAATATATTAAACTTCAAAAACATTTGTTTTGAAAATCATTTCAGAAATGTATCTAAAATGACATCCTTTTGCACATAATGATACAATTTAAGTGAAATCTTGCCATCAAATTTGTTTGCGCACCACGGCCTAGAATGTCGGTATGGCATGACATGTACCAAATTGCATCATTGTAAGTCCAAAAATGCAAAAGCTCCCTAACATAAACAAATCCTATGGACGGCCATGCATTATGGCTCAGGGCATGGGCACACAGAGGATTTTTTTTATGTTGGGAACCGGGGTAAAATGCAATAAATTATTGAAAATTTATTGCATTTTCTTTGTTTTGATATATTTATGGAAACTGCCCTCTACCCTAGCCCC